AGCCAAAGAGTTGCTTCGCTTGACCGAAAGTGGTGAACAGCCGAATATGGTTTTCTCCGATGAGAAAATATTCGTTGTCCAGCAGTTTATAAACAACACAGGGCGATGGTGTGGGCCGCTATAACAGCCGATGGTCGCTCCCCGCTCGTATTAATCGACCGAGGCATCAGAATAAATGCCGAATATTATCGCGAAAATATTCTGGATGGTGTATTAAAGCCTTGGGCACACAAACATTTTTGCCGCAGACCTTGGACCTTGGTCACACTGAGAACGCGTCACCCAAGAGTAGTTACAAAATGAGGTTCCTCGCTTCATTTCCAGCGCACAATGGCCACCAAAATCTCCGGATAAAAATCCTTTGGACTATTGTGTCTGGGTATTTTAAAAAGCAAGGTTGGCACAAAAAAATAACAAAGTGTGGATCACCTCAAGCAAGTGCTTCGCCGGGAATGGGCCAAAATACCGCAGAGCAACATTCGGGCAGCGTGTCATTGGCCGTTTGAAGGCCATAATTCGTGCCAAAGGTGACCAATTCGAACAAATCTAAGCTTATTCTAAAATTTCATGCTATTTCCGACATTTTTTGCTTTCATTCAATAAAATTTAAAAAAAGAGCGTAAGACTGAGTACTAAAATTATATAGAAGTACTAGCTGGCCCGGTCCGCGTTGCCGGCCCGTACTTTTAGTCTTTAAAGCCTGATATATCACAGGCGGCACAATTTTGATTATAAGTAATGACTCCATTATGATGACTCCAATTTTTATTATAAGTAATGACTCCATGACTAAATATAAATTAATATTCATGGCAAAAATTATAATTGCCATCGGTATTAGATATTTTGAATAGCCTGATCTTATTTTTCAGCTATATGCTTTAATTTGAGTGTTGATAAAGAACATTTATAATAGCCCCATGTGAAAATTCAGCTCAATTTTTGATATTGTAGAAAGCATTCAAATGAGCTATAATATGAAATTTGTATTTCCAACGTTTAAAATCCCGTACTGCGTGGTATTCAGTTTTGTCCACCTTTTACTTGAAGGCAGAATGTTGTCAGAATAGCCAAAAAAAATTACTCTTTTGCTCCGATTACAGTAAGATGGACATTAGTTGTTTGTCATTTAAATTGTGCGGTGGAGATCCAATAAAGTTACTTTATAATTTCGTATTTTTTTTCATGTTTCTGCCACAAATCTTCATGTACATCCCAAATCTACGTTCCCAACCAATATTCTCTTAGGGGTTACAAATTCAATAGAATACCAAATTCTCTTTTCTGACCACACATTGGTTGGGAAGGTGGACTTGGGGGTATACTAATGTGGGGACTATACTTAAATAAATGCCTATGTGGATAATTATCTATAAGATGATTTTCTACCACAGGGTTTTTTACCCCAGGTAACCTCAAGACTAAGATGCGCCCTTTTCCGAAAAATAAAAATTTTATAAGAAGAGGTTTTCTTTCCCCTTAGAAACAAAGATGGCCAAAGGGCCAAAAAATTAAAAAAGTGGCCAAGACTCCGAAAATACCTTAAATCATATGATGGTGATACCAGATCGTGATCATTTTTTGCAAGGATGGCTTCTTCTTAAATTATCAACATTAGCTAAAATTAGTACGAACAATATGGTTAAAATGTAGAATATACATGAAATTAGGTTGTTCCGTTATCGGGGGTTATGACCCATATCATGACCTGCCAAAGCGATTAAAGGTATCTTGAATGTTTAGAAAGAATTTATTTTTTGCGTCCTTTATAGTCGATATTTGACTGATTACAGTCCCAATGTATTTTGCATTTTGTGTTCTCATTTGACAATTTATTGTCATATGAAAGAAGCAGGTCCAAATGAACCCCAAAATGCTTTTTCGGTCATTTTTGTTTGTATAAATGTGTTTGGATCTTCGAATCTTCAATTTTATACATGAAAAATCGCCATTTGACATCGTATTACGCACTCATTTCATTTTTAATATTATTCATTCAGAATTGAAAACAATAAGAAATGTACACTTCAATATAGAAAAAAGTAAGAATTGAAAAAATAAAAATAATCTTCAACTGGTTCGCTGATTTTTTTTACGGCAAATTTTTAAAGGTGTTTATATAGTTTGTCTGTAGAATGTACTATTATTTTGAAATTCGATTCCATTGGAAAATTTTCGATTTTTCCCGATTTTAGAATTTTCATATCTTATTCTCTTCTGAAATGATATTATTCGTATTACCCAATAAATACATATAATCTATAAATAACAGTGTACAAATGTACATTCGAAAATAGTAAGTCAAAATGAAAAAAAAAAAAAAAGCATGCAAAATAAAACATTACTATTGTACATTTTAAAAGTCAAAATGAAAATGTTCAAAATTTCACATTTTTATGCAATTTTTTTGGTTTTTATGATTTTCTGCCAAGAGGCAATTCCGAATTTATCTGAATCGTTAAAATCAGACCAGCGGTCTTTATGTTATAAGCGTAGTAAAAGTAGGCGCGTTCCTCAGCCCCTAAATAAATACTTACGGTTGGATGGAAAGCCAACAGTATCTCATTAATAATTCTCAAACCGATATCTTCATTATTTAAGCAAATATAAGGATTTTAGATAAATCGAAATAGTGGGCGTAAGAGCAGGCGTGGTCAATATTTTTTTCTTTAAAACCCTAACTCGGGGTATGACGAACGTTTGTACAAAAAATCATGCAAATCGGTCCAGCCGTTTTCAACTGATTCCGTTACCAACAAACAACAATTGATTTTTATATATATAGATATATATCGAAAACCAAATGAGATCTCAAAAAAGCAAATTACATTATCTACATAAGGATCGGTTGATACCACAGCTATATTCAATCTTGAAGCATTATAATTGTTTTAGTAAAAATATCAAGATGTCACTTCCAAAAATTCTAATCTTTGGTAGTCATAAATTCTACATTACTGCTATTTCGGTTAGGGAATTTGTTTTAGGATCTACACAATAACTAAAATCGACCGTTTGACAATTTATGACATCTACGTCAAAAGAGAGGACAATATTGACTTTTTATGATGCGGACTACCATATGGGGAAATTTCAATACCAATAATCGAAATTTTAATACTATTTCTATTTAATAAATTCATTTGAAACAGTTTGAATGATTTCAGGTACAAGCTCAAATTTAAAACTCATAAATAATCATTACAAACTAATGATAGTCTAGTCATTTATAAAATTTTTATAAAACAAGTCAAAAATAAGCTAATTTATACTCTCCTCCATTTTGAAGGATATCGCTCAAATGAAAGACGCAGACCTGTATAAGTTATTTTTTTGTCATAGGTGGTTGTATCGATTCCGAACTTCACATACGAAATTTGGAACAATTCCGATCAATAATGTCGCTAATATCATCAAATTTGAAACAATTCCGGTGAATAATTCGATATCGTGGACCTTTATAGACAATCCTCTTCCAGAGAGTTAAGTACTCAGAGGGACACTTTGTATGGAATTTCAGACAGTTCCATAAAAAATTTAGCTACAATAATCAAAATACCGAATATAATCCAAATACCGAATGTAGGGAGGTACCGTTAAATGGGGGATATACGATATCGTGGACCTATATAGACAATTCTCTTACAGCGGGTAAAGTACTCAGAAGCAACTCCGTATGTGGATTCTCAGACAATTCCATAGAAAAATTTGGCTACAATCATCAAAATACCGAATATAGGGAGGAACCGTTATATGGGAAATATAAAATATCATTGACATATATAGACAACTCTCTTCCAGGGAGTAAAGTACTCGGAAGGAACTCCTTGTGTGGAATTTCAGACAATTCCATTAAAAACTTTAGCTACAATCATCAAAATACCGAATAGCGGGAGGTACCGCTATATTATGGACGTACGATATCTTGGACCTACATAGAAAATTCTTACAGGAGGTAAAATACTCAGAAGCAAAAGACTGATCTGTACATAATTTTAGCTTCCTATGTTATTTCGTTTTGACCATAGCGTGATTACAACAGACGGGCATACGGTCAGACAGACGGACGGACGGACAGGGTTAAATCGTCTTAGAATTTTACGCTGATAAAGAATATGTTTACCTTGTTAGGTCTACATTTATTATTTCGAAGAGTTACAAACGGAATGACGAACTTAACATATTAATTTTCTGTTGGCATAAAAATTGGTTAGTACAGCCGGGCTGCGATGGAATGTGCTAATCACAGATGAAAACACCAGACAGTACCTGTATATGACTGAAATTGGCCTATGTGACTGATTTTCAGTATCAAACATTTAAATGAAGCTGTCAAAGTTATAGATTTTCATAAAAAATGTTTTTAGAAATTTAAATCCTTTTGAAATTGACTGCAGTCAACAAATATCCTCACTCCTTCTCTTGGAAATTTTCATCTTTCAGATTTGCATTTGTACTCTATGACAAAATCCGATGAATGGCCTTCTGGAAAAATCCTTCATTGTTGTAGCAACAGTTGATGCACGACCTCACTTAACATTTCATCTATGCAACACTCACAACCCCTGTTAAATATTCAGGAGTCTTGTATGTCTATCGTACACTCTGTACAACTCCACAAAGCTCCCAAAGGTTTAGTGCAATTCTGTACAGTTGGTAGCTGTTGCTCAGTCTGTTATGACTGGTGACGATGCGTCTTCGTCTCAACATAATGAAGAGACCACTCTCTCTTTCGCCATGTTACTCGCTCACTGTAAACCAGCAATGCTGCAAAGACTTACTAACTAACTTGTCTGCTTGCTGGCTTACTGACTGAATGAGTGACTGGCTTTTGGTTTACATTGGAAATTTTAAAATACACCACAATAACCATAACAACAACAACAACAATGCCACCAATAAAAACAAAACCAAAAAAATGAATTGTTTTAAACCATGGTCTTCATATAGAGTATATAAACCATGTGCAGGCCATGTTTGGTTATCAGTTCATTTTTCAATTTGGTATTATAAGCCAAGAAAGCCAAAACCTTCATCAACATCGCCAAATAAATTTTGGATTATCCTTCACAACTGCTACAAGGATTAAAACTTTGAATTGAATTTTTAAATCGTTATTCCAGAAATAAATCCATTCAGAAATATGACCAGTCTTAAAGTTATTGTAAGTTAAAAACAAAAATAAAAAAACACAACAACAATAAAGAGTGAATGAACTGAACATGAAAAGGCATCTAAACGAAAAGTGAAATGAAATGAAAAAAAAAACGATGGTGTCACAAAGTTGTAAATCAATCAAAAGAATTATCACTGGAACTATTGCTTTGACATAAACATCATCAGAATTGAAAGACTTCAATACAAAAGAATAATTAATACAATGGATATTGAAATAGAAAAATAGTTTGAATTTATTATTCAGAATTTGTCTACATGTCGTGGGAAAGTGTATGATTTTGTAATTCATTCTTCATATGACGAAACGAAATTCAGTCACGTTTTTTCATGGTGTGCCAAAGAATAATTAAAAATGTAAAATATTGAAGAAAAGAGGAATTAGCCAGAAGCCAAGAATATATAGAGAGAGAGAGAGAGTGAAACTGTGATATAGTGTCCGTCAAATGTTATTGATAAGTTGAAACATGCGGATAATCTTACATCCGTTTTCTGAAAAAATTATGTTTTACTGGCATGTATTCGAGATTTTAAGTCTCGTTTCAATTATTTTCAAGATTCACTCGAAGAATTAATGTGTTAAACCTATCTTAGGGCAAAATCCCTTCCATGATATTTGGAACTGATCTAACCACTTCCGTGTGTTTGTCTCTTAGGTTAGCTATCTCTCATAATGAGTACCTTGTTTTATCCAAACTTTGTCTAAAGAAGGACTATATAGGTCGACTCCTTCTAGTACCTTAACTTATCAGAGTGTTTATAACCTACACCACATACTGGTAAGGGAATTATGTCTTTGTGCATTTGTTTGTAACATGGAGAAGGAGGCGAGATAGACCCATAGTTACTTTTGAGGATCTTCAGAGAATCAATTTCTAAGTCGATTTATGCATGTCTTCATTTCAATAATAACAATTTTATTAATAATAATACGAGGATTATGTATTATCGTCGAAAATTTTAACTCTCAAACAAGTCAACAAAGGGATCTCTTAAGTTCTTCTACAACACTATGTGTTGGGGGTACTATTAGTTTGATTAGGCTAAAAATTATGTAACATTTGGAAATATTGGTCGAAGACATAGGGTGTTACATATGGATCTTCTTTTCTCGCCGAGCTAAGTCGTATGTCCGCCTAAGATAGGGGGAGATGATTGCAAAATATTTTGGGGTCGAAATGGACCAAACACAGTAGACAGCATACCGGAAATAACAAGCAATCAGCTGATATGTCCAAACAAAACAATTTTCAACCATTAAAAACAATAGTAAGTAAAGGTTAAAAGTCGGGCTATATTATACCTATGCGAATTTAGTAAAAAACTTTATATTGGGATTTTTTGTGAAGTAGATCACACCAACCATGAACCTTATTTGAATGGGTATTATGGCCTTTGAGTAGTCACAATTTGGGAACTATAACCAACTCTGAATAGATTTTCAACAAATTTGACGGAGGCTTTTGTACCTCTAGTACCAAATAACATTGCTGCATAGTACATGATATAACTTCGATAAGAATTATATTAAGTAATTTTTATTGGAGCAATACATCAGCAATACCGGACCGCTTGAATATGAAAAAATCTATCCAATTTGGGTTGATATTACATATATGGTGGACAATAACCGTAAAATCCTATAAAGATGTATATCGAAGGTGTATACAAATCTGAACCGATCTCGATAAAATTTGGCAGAGGTATTTTCGAGCAGCGTCTCATGCCCAGTATAAAATATCATTGTTGTGGAGTGCATATTACTCATGTGAGGAACTTTAGCATCAAATCGGATGAAACATATATATGGGAGCTATAGCTCTATCCGAACTGATTTATGAAAATTTGAAGTACTTGTTTCTAGGATGAATTCAGTCGGAATTGTCAAGATTCAGTTCATTTGGCCTGATATAAGCCATTTGGAGCAAAATAAACCTAAAATCGGATAAAGATATATATGGGAGCTTTTTCCAAATCTGAACCGATCTTAACAAAATTTGAAACACTTATTTCTGAGCTGTATCTGATATTTGCTACCAAAGATTATTGTTGTGGAGTGCATATTACGCATGTGAGGGACTTGAAACCCTAAATCGATTGAAACATATATATGGGAGCTATAGCTATTTCTGAACCGATTTTCACCAAAATTTTAAGTAGTTGTTTCTGGGCTGAATTCCTCGGAATTTCCAAGATTCATTCCATTAAGGCTAATATAAGCCATTTGGCGCACAATAAACCTGATATCGGATAAAGATATCAGCTATATCCGTATATGAGAGCTATATCCAAATCTGATCCGATCTCGATACAATTTTACAGAGGTTTTTCTGGATATCTGTTACCAAATATCATTCTTGTGAAGTGCATATCAGGAATGTGTATTTGTATGGGAGCTATAGCTATGTCTGAAGCGATTTTCACCAAATATTATGTACTTGCTTCCAGACTGATATTCACTACTTGATGCACAATTAACCCGAAATCTTTTATAGATATATATGGGAGCTATATATAAATTTGAACCGATTCTCACCAATCTCAATGGGGTTCATCCTTGGGTCAAACAAGTATAGTTTGGGAAATTTCATCTCAATCGGATAATAAATGCGACCTGCATTTTGTTCACAATAATACATGGACGGACAGACGGACTGACATGCATAAATCGATCCAGAGTGAGTCTATGAAGATCCTCAAAAGTAAATATGCATCTATCTCGCTTCCTTCTCCATGTTACAAACAGTAGTAAAGTAGTCATTTATGGAAGTTTTTGGAACTGTCCATGGCCTTATGGGATATGTAACGGTGTTAATTGAATATAAATAAAAAACGACAAATGCTCTTTTCTCGTTTAGGAATTTAAAGAACTGATAGAATTCTTCTCACCTTGAACATCCTGTTCTTATTTTCTTTAAAATGCGACTTCGTTATTGTTTTGGCTATTAAGCTATTGTGGCGGGTTTGGGTAAAATAACCTTACTTCCGTGTTTTTGAAGCACATGTAATCTTTAAGTAAGTTTGTAAAATTTCAGCAAGATACGGCGATATTATATTCTACAGCTATAATTTACGTCGGTTATTTTTTATTTATTTATTTTATTTTTTTTTTTTTTTTGCATTGAAAAATTCAACATTTTTTCCTTGGATAATAAACATAGATATCAAAAATGTTTCCTACAAGTCATTCAGTCAAACACAAAGCTACTACAAATACCTATACCTAATCTACAACTCATCCAAATTAAATAACAAAAGATAAAAAAATGTCCCTTGGACAATAACAAAAATTTGATAACAATTTTCATTCCATTCAAATTTACAACAGCGAACAAAAGTCCGACATAACTTCAGTTCATTTCTCGTTTATAACGATCGTCTCGTCACCTTTTGTTTGCCATAATTTCTGTATTAATTAATTTGCATTAACTAATGAATGAATGGACAGAAAGACAGACAAATAAACAACAAAATAATTTTATTTCATTTTTTTTTTTGCTTTTTTCATTTCAGCTACTTTTGGCTTTGATCGGCTTGGCTTATGCCACTCCAGGAGGCTTCTTTGGCAAACAGTAAGTATTTCCATGCCCGTGGCGAATGTAATCTATTTTGTTTTGTTTTTTTTTTTTTCATTTGGCATTACATTATCCAGAAACACATAATTATCGTTGTCAATTATGCCAACAAACCAACAGATAGACAAATAAATGAATAGAAAGACACAGACAGACAAACGGACATGCAAAGTTGGCTATCACTCCCATGGCCAAGATTGCTGCCATGCAATCTATTTTATTTTGCATTGTTGGTGGCATTTTTTGCTATTCATTAACATATTGCAGGCGTAAGTTGTGTCTCGGTGTGTGTGTGTGCGTTTTTCTCCGATTATCTTTCTTTGTGCGGGGTTTGATGGTATATTCGAGAAAATCACAATTGTGTTATGAATGGAGACCGGCAAAAGGTTTATTGCTTTGCCATCTATCTATGAAAATGTGTATCATAATTTAAAAAATGGGATTTTTGTTTTTGTCAATGCCGTAGCTGGTCTATTATTTTCCTGAGGAGAACGTTGGCCCTAGCCTAAAAGTATGCACATTAATTTATATTTGTAAGAAATCCAGTACTTGTCCGCCCGATATTAATAGATGGTGCGCATTTGAAAGTAATTGGCAAACTTTTTGCACATTTCAAACCTTTCAGAGCCAATTTCATATTTCAAATCGTGTTATCAATAGTAACTCCTATCTAGTCACTCCTCATTTAGTATTAGTAGGATATTTCACTTTTAGGGTATATCATACTAGTTTGCACTACTAAAGGTTAGGGATACGTAATCCAATATTTGATTTACTGATTTATCAACTTTTGGAATTGGATAGATCTTTGGCTGTAATAAAAGTTACAAAGTCGTCCTTTTGCATTCGATTTTGCGACGAGGATTCTTGATCGATTTTTTTTCTTCAGCCAAGAAGTATGCAATTTTTTAGTGTTTAGTTGTTACTTTCATGTCTTTGCTGCTACGTTCCGATAGATGGCGTTAGTAGCGTAAAATTGAATAACATATTAAAAGATAGGTTTATTTTCTGCCCGAAGTAACTATTTCTCGATATTTTCAAATCATAATAGGTAGAACGCTTCATGTTTAGGTAGCAACACCTGATGTTTAGGTAGAATATTTCTGTCTCTGTAGAATACCTAAAATCCTTTCTATATTCACATTTTTATTCGTTACCCTAATACTGAAATTCATGATCCTAGCTTCATCTTCAAGCAACATTTGAAAATGCTTTTTATCTACGCTCCTGACTATTTTCATGGCAAATCTCTGTAACTCAAACATTGCTCTCATAATGCCTCCCATTACATCATTCGAAGCGCCAGTTCAAGTGAATGTATCCTTAAAAACCATGGCATTTTCCTCTTCAATTTCCTTTGTTTAACAACAAACTGGCTAGTTATCTGCCTGTCTCTGTTGTTTGCTTTCAATCGAAACATGAATTGCCTGTGAAATATTTTATGATTGGATTAATGTTGGCACTTAACATCTAATTGGAGGCGATCTGCGTCATCGAATTAACCCATTGTTTTATGACATGGTGTCTACTCCTAGTCTACTTACATTTCGACATCTTGACCCCAAAGATAACCAGCAGGGAAAGGTCAAATGTCGGACGGGACCGACTATATGATACCCTATACCACTATGCGTATTTAGTAGAGCTCCCGTTACAAGAAAAGTTTATACTTCGAATTTATGTGAAGTAAAACAGACTAACTTATTTGAATGTCTATCATGGCTTTAGAGTAGTCACAATTCGGGAACTATAACCAACTCTGAGTCGATTTTTAACAAATTTGACTGAGGGTTTTGTACCTGTAATACAAAATAACATTGCTGTATAGTGCATGATATGACTTCGATAAAAATTATATTAATAAATATTTATTGGAGCAATACATATACCGGACCGGTTGAATATGAAAAAATCTATCGAATTTTGGTTGATATTACATATATGGTGGGCAATAATCGTAAAATCCTATAAAGATGTATATCGAAGGTACATATGAATCTGAACCGATCTCGGCAAAATTTGGCAGAGGCATTTTCGAGCTGTATCCGATGTCCCGTTTCAAATATCATTGTTGTGGAGTGAATATTATGCATGTGAGGGACTTTAACACCAAATCTGATGAAACATATATATGGGAGCTATAGATATATCTGACACGATTTTAACCAAAATTTGAAGTATTTGCTTCTAGACTGAATTCGGTCGGATGTGCCAAAAGTCAGGTCATTTGGACTGATATGGCCAATTTGGTGCACAATGAACCCGAAATCGGTTGAAGATATATATGGGAGCTATATCTAAATTTGAACCTAATTTCAATAGGGTTCGTCCTTGAGCCAAACTAATATTGTTTGGAAATTATCATCTCTCAGGAATAATAAGTGTGCCTTGCGTTTTGTTCATAGAAATACATGTGAAGAACGGACGGACTAATATGCATAAATCGACTCAGAAAGCGATTCTATGAAGATCCTCAAAAGTAACTATGGGTCTATCTCACTTCCTTCTCCATGACATAATACCCTTAACACTATGTGGTGTAGGGTATAAAAAATACACCAACTAGTAAACAAAAATTTAAGCACTAGCATATATATCTTAAAGAAAATTGCCTAAAATATTACTAAGTAATTTAATTTATACAACTTCTTTTCAAAAAGTTGATATTTCACAATCCAAACCTATTTCGGTTTCACAAGCCAAGTCTTTTGCAAATGTTGTTCTAACATAATGTTTGTGTCTTAAGTCTTTCGTTTGCTAAGGAATTACATTTTCCTATTCATTTTCATTTTTGTGTCAAAATAATCAATTTTGCAATTTTAAACACGTTCATAAATATGTCGCCAGAAAAACTACGAAAATTCAACAATCTTCCTCTTCATTTGATTTGACACATACATTTTCCGAATGAAAGACTTCAGACGGAAACTGGTTATCATAACCGAAATTAAGAAACTCATATCAAATACCATCGAATTGCTTGTGTGGTTTGAAAACAGAAATGTCGTACTGTTCAGTGCTTAAATTTGAAACTTCTTTATTCGCACGATTTAAGGCTGCAGCATATTGGAAAACAACAAGTGACTTTGGCAACATTTAAAAGCATTTTTTTTTCTTTGAATATTCCAACACAAATTTGTTTGCAAAAATATAAATTTACGAAATGGCAAGAAAATGATAAATCTCGTGTGTATGATATTAACAAATTCAACTAGTTTTCAGTGGTCATACTGTCTGCGTATTAGGATTTATTTAATTGAAAATAGGAATCATGAATCTTTACAAGAAATATTACGAAAAATACCAAATTATGCCCAGTTCATTTAGCAATTTTTTGAAAACGAAGGACTTGCTTGTTGCTTAGCCATTTTGGGCAAAGACTTTAATCTGGACCCATAGAAGGAAATTCATTTTAAGAACATGTATAGTAGGTTTTCTATTACATTCGGAAGAAGTATACAAAGTATCTTGTGAAGATATTTTACGGAATTGCTATAGGCCTTCTGTTTGTAGAAAAAATGTATCAAATGCTCTATCTATCAAAGACCACAAAATTTCGTCCAGCCTCAAATGCGGCTCTAAAGAATTATTTTATAATCTGTCACCAAAAAAAGTATGAAAACTGAAAAAAAAAAAACTTACTGCTCATTATTGGACAAAAGTGCTCAAAACGAAAGAATTGAGACACAAACCGGTTGTGTATGATATATTGGAAAATATCCAATCTATAATCAGGGACCACAGCCATATGACAACAGAGGGTATATATCATTTAATACGACGAAAACGTGTCTCATCGAAATAACGGCTTTAGATTAGGTCGAAGCCTGGTAAATCGTAATATTGTTGTCGAACTTAGATCGGGTTCGAAGATGGGCAACATTGGCCCACTCGTAAGAAGATCAAAACTTTCAAAGAAAATGTTTTACCTCAAAGAAAGAGATAGGATAATTCGATTATGTGCAAACTTTGCAAAACCCAATATTTTTGTCAGTGCTAAGTCAGGTGTGAAAACGTAAGATATCGGCCTACCCCATGAAATACCTCCACCAAATACCTCAACATCTGCAATAATTAAAATCTTAAAAAATGTGAAATAAGAGTCAGATTGTCTTCAAATTTCACCCATACCAATATTATAAACGTAAGATTGGATGTACAAATGAGATAGATCGGTTCACTCCTTCTGGTACCACCTCCTCAATCATTGAGCTCGTAAAACGAGAAATTAGCATCTAATTTATTTCAAACTTGGCATATCTAAACATTTTTATCAACACAGAATCAGTTGTGAAGATGATAGATATCGGCCAATTCCTTCTGGTACCACTCTTCACGAAAGGTCAAAATTTTGAATAAAATGCGAATAGAGCATCTAATTCTCTTCAAATTTCACACATCCCATTATTTCTACTAAGACAAAATCTGATATCGAATGAAGATGGAATATATTAAATTTATGAATAGCCATGATATTCTTATTGACACGTGTTCTGGGGGAAGATATTAGAAGGTGAGATAAAAAAACTGCAACAAAGTCAAACATTTTATACATTTTTTTTTTTTAATTTTATTGAATGAAAGCAAAAAATGTCTTTATAAACAAGCGGAAGACTCAGAGAGTTTTTATAGTCGAGCTGAAGGCTCAGGAAGTCTTTGTAGACGAGCTGACAGCCAGGGAGTCTTTATAGACGATCTGACAGCCAGAGCCCTTTATAGAAGAGCTGATGGCACTGAAAAGGTATTTTTAAATCAACTTCCATTGGCCCTCATACTACAACTTCTAGATCGAAATGTTCAACTATAGAAAAGACTTAACACACAAACATAATTTTTAATTCCTCTTTTTTAGGCGAACTGTTGGCCAGGGAGTCTCCAAACCAAACCCCTGGTGACCCACTTAATTTAACTCTTAATTTCTAGTTAAAAATGTTGAACTAATCTTAAGACTCAAGACACAAACTTGATTTTAAACCAAGGAAATCAAAAGACTTAAGCGCCAAACTTTTTTCTTGTAGGAGAAACTAGTTCAAGTGACATAGTAATTTATAAATATAAATGTGTACCCCCAATGGGTTAAAAAACCACACCACTTTAATGTTTTTATGCACTCCAAAGTGGAATTCCGTTACAAATTTCATTGAAATATTTGTTTTGCCGGTTTTGTTATTTTGCTTTTCCAGCGGATAAGGCAAAGAAAGAAATGCTTTATTTTTTGATTCAAAATAATTGCCAGTCTTTTTTATTGCTAATGCCATTTCATCTCTACGTTTATGTGTGTGTGCGTGTGCCGTGGTGTGTTTTATTAAATAATTAAGTTCACATTGTTACCGGTGTGTTTATAAGATTTTATTATTTTTATTGCAATTGTCAGACGTTGGCTGATAACTGTAATGCAATCATGAAATAATTATGTGAGTGTGTTTGTATTTTTGTTGCTTTTTTTTTTGTTGATGATTTTGATAGTTCGTTGGCACGAGTTGGCTGAACACCACTTATCGTTTATTGTCACACAGCCAGATATTAAAATCCAATAAGCGACCAAAAATACAACACTCTACCGGCAAAGTCGTTTAAACGCTGGCACAGCACACACTGGCAGAGGGTAACAACAAAACGCAATAAGTAGCCGGGTTATAATTATGCGGAATACACAAAACAATTGATTGTGCAGAAGCTCATTATCATTCATTGGACATGTCATTGGAGGGATTCTTCGTTGTTTGTTTTGGAACACATTTTTCATTTTTGTTTTTTGCCTTTATTCGCTTTTTACTGCATTTGACACCTTAATGCAATGCGGATTTCATAAACACGCAGGCCTCAAGTTCACAGACATCATTAAAAAGGCTATAAACAACATTTTCACTTTCATTAACATAATTATGTGCCCTTCTCGCACATTAGGTGTCATTCCGAGTGAATGAATGAATGAATGAATGAATGGATGTGAATGCTAAAATTGTTATTTGTTTAACTTTGTCATTAATTTAATATTTTCCCCCTCCTCTTACAGTGAACATCACACCATTCACGTGCCATACAAAGTTCACACCATCCATCATCACCATGTCAAGAAGGTGCCCGTCATCAAGGAGGTTGTGAAAGAGGTGCCCGTCGAAAAGTTGGTCGTCAAAGAAGTTGTCAAAGAGGTACCCGTTGAGAAAATTGTCCATGTGCCCGTTGAAAAGATCGTCCATGTGCCCGTGCATGTACCCGTCCATGTTCATCATGAAGATCACCATGGCGGTTATCATGGTGGCCACAGCAGCGAATACATTGTCAGCAGTGACTCTCACAAAGGCTGGTCCTCATCTGGATGGTAAAATAATTAGTCAATAGAGAAATCCCTATTTTAGTCCCAGTATTTGTTTTGTTTTCCTCTTCACCACCACCACCACTACTACCTGTCTAGTTTAAGTATCTCTTTGAGTATTTAAATATTTCTATTTGTTTTATTTTGTAAATATTTTTTGTTTTAATTGTTGTTTTCGTTTTTTTATTAAATGAATTATAAACTATATTTGTTGTACAATTTTTTTTGTTTAGTAGTTGTAGTTATTAAATGAATTACTAAATAAAAATGGAATTAAAAAAATAATGCGGAAATTTGTTGTAATCTTCTTACTAAGGATAGATGTGAAGAAAATTAAATAAAATGTGTTCCTTTAAAAGAAAATTAGAAGAAAATTGCTTTACACTTGGCTACAGTCCAAGAATTGTTTCTCCACATGTCATAGACAAAAAAATATAAAAATCTTACTTAGACCGACAATTCAAAATTTAAAAAGTAAGCAAAGGCTATAGTCGTGTGGGCAGACCATGTCATACCCTACAACACTACAATATGTTAGAAGCCCTTTATGTCCAAATCCAAATTGGAAGATTTCGCTTTAAACAATTATGTCACGGAGCACTGCCCAGATATTACCCTTAGCATTTTGACCAGGGACATTTGCGCAATATTTACGCACTAGGTCGTACTCTTAGTTGTTGTTGTCCATTTACAGCTAAATATAATCCAATGGTCATCCAAAATGCTAGAATTCTTCCCTGTTCTTAACTCTCTTCCCAAGCGTGTCGATTGGCTTCAATTGTGTGATCAGGTGATCATTTTTTCTTTTTTTTGTGTGATTTGAACCCCTAAATATATTGCGGACATCTTTGAAAACAATAGGCATAGCCCTTCTGAGGCTAACCCTACCTCTGTGATAATTTTCGTGAGGATCGGACGATAATTGCAATCTGTATATGAAAACCTCAACCTGTGTTTAAGGTGAAAAATATTACAAAATGTATACTTCAATATTATAAGTCAAATTGAAAAAATCGCATGCGATGAAAAATATGAAAAAATAAAAAAAATCTCGCAAAATACTACAAAATCTACTAGCATCATTATTGGCATCTTTTTATGCGATTTTTTAGATTTTATTCTTTTATGCCAATAGGGCATTCTGAATTGACAAAATTTGTCAAAATCGGTCCAGCCATTCTTAAGATATAAGCATTCTAGCTAACATCACCTTCCATTGTATATACACATTGAATATATTTCGCTATATATACGATATATTTACTATCGGCATCTACGTAACGATCAGAATTGACCTGTTCGTTTATTTGTGATGTCGCCGGGATTAAAAATATTCGCGGTTTAATGGAAAATTTGACTTTTATTTAACACAAATAGTATGGTCTATTTCACCCACTAAATATTACCCGATGACCATCAAATTTGGAAGGTTCCTGCCCAAACCTAAGCTTTAGCCCCATACTAACTTCTGCGTCGATTGCTCTATTATTGCAACCTGTAGAGCAACTACAAAATCAGGAAATTTTTCAGTTTTTGGTCCATTTCAACCCCTAAATATTTTGCGATCATCTCTAAAAGCAATAGCCTTCTATTCTGGACCTCCATTCTTAATTTCTTGAAGATCGGACCATAATTGCGACATATGCGGACATATGTGGCTAGATCGACTCAGCTCGGCGAGATAGGAAGATCCATATATACTTTCCTATGTGGGAAACCAATATTTCGAGGTTTCAATATCAAATTTGAAAATTCTAGCCCTATCTCTGCATCCAATACCATTCAATGCTTTTCGTACAAATATAGTACACATTTTCGAAACCAGCTTCATATGTCCAGGCTACATATGGACAGCGTCTATAATACCAAATTTCACATTTAAAACAGAATATATTCACACAATACCAAATTGTACCAAACATAGTACTATTTAGTACTTTTGTACCAAAACTTGAATAATTTATATTGGACCAACGGAATGAGCTAGAATTTTTAATTTGAAAAGAGAGTCACTGATGGAGCGCTGAATTGGTGTACCAGAGATTCAAGTGCACGGGAAGTACAAAATAGTACTATAGTTAGTACAATTTTGTGTTGGCTGAACAAATAGGGATAGAAATCTGAAATTTTCTATTAGGATCGCTGTTCATGTGTAGCCTAGAATATGAAGGTGGCTTCCGAAATTTGTACTATAATTGTTCATAAAATACTGAATAGTACTGTATTTGGTATTGGGTGAAGGGATAGAGATAAAATTTTGAAAATTGATATTTAGATTAACGATGGTCAGAACCCCGAAATACTCGCTCAATTTTGCTCAAAGAGTGAAACTTACTCGAATTCGAGCGTGTGCGCTCCTGGGAGCAGAAAAAAAATTTGAGCAAACTCGTTTTTTGAGTGGGAGCTAATTTTTTTCAAGATCGAGCAGGTCTATTCTTGCCGAGCAAAGAATTGTGTTTGTATGTGTGTGTGTACTTTTGCAACCACCAGTTGCAAATGTAACAAAAACAATCAAATGCCGTTTTTATACCCTCCACCACTCTATCAAGGGTATATTAACTTTAACATTCCGTAAGTAACTCCTCGTAATATTCATGATAGACCCTAAAAAGTATATATATTCTGGATCAGAGTAAAATTCTAAGACGATTTAGCCATGTCCGTCTGTCTGTCTGTTGTAATCACGCTATCTTTCGAACGAATTGAGATAGAAGGCTAAAAATGTTCACACATGTGTATTTTCCAGGTTATGTTCGTAAATGGTCTCACGTTTCATAAAGCCTCCATACAACGGAACCTCCCGATATTCGACATTATTAAACCGAATTGTTTCAAATTTCGTTTTCGAAGTTTGTAATGGGTACTACAGCCTATGCAAAAAAAAATTGTATAAAGCTTATCATTTACACAGTGTTTTTTGGAATTTGTTGAACATTTTCAAGTTCCTTGCAAATGGAGGAGGGATTTAGAGGTGGAGCGATTCAAAGGCCCGGCCGAACTTAGCTGTTTTTTTCTTGTTTTCTTTGATTTTGTGCACAATCAACCTGAACCCCCTGCCTCTCTCTCTTTAAAGTTCACACAAATCACCAAACAAAAAATGTTTTACTCATTTCCTCTCTTAGAGCAAACTCTTGATCTATTTGATTGACAGGATTGACTCAGGAGCTCCCACTCAAAACAAAAGAGTGAAAAGTAGACTCCAAAAAAAAACTCCCAATCTTTGAGCAATCCTATTCGCGAGCAAGTTTTGCTCCTGAGTGAAATTGAGCAAATCCGAGCTCTGCATTTGAGATTTGGCGATGGTTTGGAAATGTGCCCTATATTTGTACAAAAAGTACGAAATGTTACAAAATTGGGTATTTATTGAAGGAATAGTGCTAGAATTTGATACTAAGGTCTATTGGTATCTGGAATGGATGTATGGACATGGTTTTGGAAATGGGTTCTATAATTGTGCGATAAGGACTAAGTGGTATTAAATTGGATATTGACAGAATGAATCCCAAAGTTTAATATTGAAGTCTCTGTTGGTATCTGAGATTAAGATGTGGAGGTGATTTTGGAAATGCGTACTATAATTGTACAAAAAGTACTAAATAGTAATAATTTGGGATCACTATTAATGTCTAGGATGGAGGGATGTACATTGCATTGGATGTGCGTACTAAGTGTTACTAAATTTGGTAATGGATGAAGGGATTGGGTATAAATTCTGAAATTTGATATAGAAGTCACCGTTGGTTTCCAGGGTTCACATATGGAGACGTTCAAATAGTTATGGACAGAAAAGTTGAAAGTGGATCCATTGAGCAGTGCTTTTCCTAATATTCTCCTCAAATGAAAGACATTTTGCTAAAAAAAAGTTGAACATTTGCTTTCCGAAAAACGAAACACTTGAATAATGTATAAAACCTTGATAGCCTAAAAATTTAGTACGATGTATTAAGTTTGGTTAAGAAAGATTGTCAAACTGAACAAATTGTGTATTTTGCGTACTAACAAATAAAAAACAAGTAAAAAAGCAGTAAGTTCGGCCGGGCCGAACTTTGAATACCCTCCACCATTTGGAACGAATTAGAAAATTTAAAAAAAAATAAAATCCATTAATTTTTTTTTAAATCTTCACAATATCTAATATAGGAAGGTGCCGATATATGGGGGCATATATGATATTGTGGACCTATTAAGACAAATCTATGTCTGGGTGTAAAGTACTCACAAGGAACTTCTTGTGTGGATTTTCAGATAATTCCATCGGAAAAAGTGGCTAGAATCATCAAACTACTGAATATCGGGGGGTACCGTTATATGGGGGATATGCGATATTGCGCATCTATATAGACAATTCCCTTCCAGGATAAAGTGTTCACAAAGAACTCCTTGTGTGGATTTTCAGACAATTCCGTTGAAAAATGTGGGTAAAATCATCAAAATTCCGAATATCGGGGGGTACCGTTATATGGGGGATATATGATATCGTGTACCTATATAGATAATTCTAAGTACCCGCAAGGAACTCCTTGTGTGGGTAAAATCGTCAAAATACCGAATATCGGGGGGTACAGTTATATGGGGGATATACGATATCGTGGACCCAGATAGGTAATTCTGTGCTGAGGTATAAAGTACCCACATGGAATTCCTTCTGTGGATTTTCAGACAATTCCGTAGAAAAATGTGGCTAAAATGATCAAAATACCGAATACCGGGGGGTGCCGTTATATGGGGGCTATACGATATCGTGGACCTATATAGATAATTCTCTGCCGAGGTATAAAGTATCCACAAGGAACTCCTTGTGTGGATTTTCAGACAATTCCGTTGAAAAATGTGGCGAAAATCATCAAAATATCGAATATCGGAAGCTACCGTTATATGGAGGCTATATCAGAACGTGGACAGATATATCTCATTTTCAATACCAACCATAATAATTATATCTATTATGATATGTATTGAAAATGAGATAGAGTCAAATTGTTCTGCCAAATTTTGAAGCGCTCTGTCAAATAATGTGGGCTGTATCGTGATTTCAACAGACAGACCGACTGCCGGACATCTTTAAATCAACATAGAATTTTATACTGATTACATATAGATATACTTTATGGGGTCTACGACGAATATTTAGAGATGTTAAAAACGGAATGACAAAGTTAATATTCCCTTCTTTTCAAGGTGGAGTGTATAAAAAGGCCTAACACAAACAATATTGGAACGAATCTAACTGTTTAAGGTGGACCTTTCGCTGATGATCCGCGTAAAAT